TTTTTTTTGAGATAAAGTCTTGCCCTGTTGCCAGGCTGGAGTGCTGTGGCACAATCTCTGCTCACTGAAACCTCTGCCTCCTGGGTTCAAGTGATTCTCCTGACTCAGCCCCCCGAGTAGCTGGGACGATAGGTGCGTGCCACCACGCCCAACTAATTTTTGTTCTTTTAGTAGAGATGGGGTTTTACCATGTTGGCCAGGATGGTCTCGATCTCCTGACCTCATGATCCACACGCCTCAGCCTCCCGAAGTGCTGTGACTGTAGGCGTGAACCACCACACCTGGCCCCATCTGTCTTTCACGCTTGTACCTTTCCTTAAATGTCTAGTGATCCTTGGGCATCCCTTCACCTCTAATAATGAGGCCCTAGAAAGCCACAGGAAGCCCTGGGCCGTGGAGTGCAGGCAGGCTTCCTGACTGTGATGGGTCTGGTAGGGCTGTTTCACAGGCGCCGGGATCTCAGTGCTGCTCAGCTTTTCTCCGGGCTTGGTGGATTTTCCCAGGGAAGAGTTCTCCAGACTCCAGCCCAGGCTAAGTGGGACCAGGGGCCAGGGGCCCACTATTTAATATGGAAATTTCCACGATTCCCTCAGTTTTTAGTGTGTTGCTTCTGCTGTGGCTGTGCTCTGGGCTCACTCCTCTCCCCTCAACACTGGGGTCTGGCACCTGAGGCCCAGCGTGGGGAAGAGCAGTGGCAGGACCAGCTGCTTCTTGTGGAGACTTTGTCCCCTGGCCCACCACTCCTTCACCTCTTCCTGAGCTTTCGGAGCCTGGTGAAGCCTCTGCCTCGTCCCAGACCTCCCCGTCGCCAACCTGTTCTCTATTCCAGGTCAGCTCACCACTCTCATCCATCTGCTTTCCAGCTTACAAAAATTCTCCCCTTCTTTTGGAGTGTAAGCCTCTTAAAAAATCCCTCTTTGGTAATTCAAGTAGGATATCAGGAGGTCAGTGTGAGGTTGAACCATCCATCTTTAACAGGAAGGTCTTCTCACCTCGCATTTTCCCTCCCGCCTACCTTGGTGTTTGGTTTTGTCTTTTTTCTTTTTTTGATTTTGCTCCCTGGCCCTCTGTCACCGCCTTGGTGGTAGTTGACGTTGTCAGGAGACCTTCCCCTTTGGAAGAACCCAGTGAGTGCTGCTGACACAGGGGGACAGAAAAAGGGGTGAGCCAGGAGGGAGCGGCTAAGGGCTCCTGTCTTTCAGGGAGGAGAGTGAGTTTTGCAAGGGAGGAGGGCAAGAGCTGGGTCTGTGGGGAAACTGAGGCTCGGCCCCTCTTTGCAGGATGTGATTGTGTTGTCAATGCCAATTTTGCCTTTCAGACCTGGGCCTGTCCCCGCACCTCACGGCGCTCATGGCGGGCGGTCAGCCCTTGGGGCACAGCAGCAGCACGGGGGACACTGGCTTCAGCTGCTCCCAGGACTCAGGTAACCTGCGTGCTTTTTCAGCCTCTTGCCTGTTGCTGGCGGAGGGGCATTTCCCACAGGGGGTGCAGGGTGAGAAGTGGGCTTCCAGCACTGGCTTTGACTTTTCAGCTTTCCTGTGTCTCGTTTTCCTCCTCTCCATGGGGCTCTCAGTTCCTGTTCTCTGCCACATGGTGTTATTGGGAGGTTGAAAGTGAGTGAAAGCCTTTGCAATGTTAAAATGAGAAATGACTGTGATGATGATGTCCACGGCCCAGACAGGCCCTGGAGTCAGCCTGCCGGGTCTTCAGCCTCTGGTTGGCTTTTTACGAGCTGTGTTATCTCAAGCAAGTTGTATGATCTCCTCTTAAACCCTCAACTTTCCCCATCTGCAAAATGGGGGTACTAATGCCCATCACAGGGCAGCTGTGAGAATTGAGAGACCTAATGAAAGTGAAGCACTCATCTTGTTCTTGCCACAGAGGGGGCTCTCCCCCTTGCCTTGTCACCTCACTCCATGTCGGTTGGCGTGAAACTTGGTTTCCCTGTAGAAATGCATCTCCACCACAAATCCTGCGGGGCACAAGCCCAGGGCTGCTCCTTGTCTGAGCAGTCAGCTTCCAGGCACTACAGCCGTGGTGCCAGAGAGGTGGGGAGGTGGGGAGGTGGGATGGAGAGGGAGGTGGGGAGGTGGGGGAGGTGGGGGGGGGGGGTG